AAAAAAAAGCTTGAAAAAAATGGAGTCAGCCACCCCAACTAAGGGCTGATAAACTGCAATATATTACATTTTAAAATACAGTTTAGATACTCTTTTAGCAAATCCTTTGCAATGTTTTTCCTTTGCAAATCCTTCTGCGTGGGGCTGTATGACTAAGCATGCTATGGTGCAAAGCACATCAAAGGATTATGGCGATGACCCGGCGTAAACGATTGTTTTGTACTTCAATACATTTATAATTTGGCAAGTATCTTAAACAGACTTTTTATTGTAGAAACATTTGCATTAACTAAGATCAAGAGATTGTCAGCAGAAAGGCAGAGAGGTGATAAGTAGAAGAGTGTTTTGTACCTGCTGGAATGAGTCATACTGGAGAGCCTGCTTTCACTACCCATATACATTAGGATTATGTTGTGTTACCAATTTTACCTATATATAATTAGGATTATGTTGTGTTACCAATTTTACCCATATATAATTAGGATTTTTATTGTGTTACCAATTTTACTCATATATAATTAGGATTATGTTGTCGAACCAATTTTACCCATATATAATTAGGATTATGTTGTGTTACCAATTTTACCCATATATAATTAGAATTATGTTGTGTTACCAATTTTACCTATATATAATTAGGATTTATGTTGTGTTACCAATTTAACCCATATTTAATTAGGATTATGTTGTGTTACCAATTTTACCCATATATAATTAGGATTATGTTGTTTTACCAATTCTATAGCTGGCGGCAATTTGCAAAAGACACAATTGTGCAGAATTATGTCAATGGCCATCTTGGTACAAGCAGGACTTTGCTTTCTCATGTCAGAGCCTCCAGCAAGGAGAACAGTGAACAGCACAATAGTGACACCACAGAATCTTGCTCTGATTCCCCTGAGACTAGCATTCAGAAGCAGCAGTGCCTGAGATCTCACACCGCACATATACAGCACTTTCAGATATGCAACAGAGATCTATGGCCACATTTGTAGAAATTATAGTCCTGCTATGTTTAGTTTAAGCAGCTGATATTTATTGTGTGTCACCATGTTATCTTCTACAAGGTTGTCTATTTCACAGCACTATCTGCTCATCAAGCCCTGTGTTATTTACATCTAATTTAACATGGCAAATCCCTGCACAGTGTGATTTTGACGTGACGTATCTTGCAGCTAGGAGACGGTTTTCCAATTTTCTAATAGGGTTTAAGCTGCAGTGTGTCAACCTGATTGAGTTTACAAGGGAAAGCAGGCTGACCTTAGTGTATTTTTAGATTTCTTCAGTAGACAGAAAGAAATAGCAACAGATCTTAGAGAAAATACAGCAATATGTTTGACGTATCAATATAACAGAGAGAAGGACCATCAATATTATTGTATCTATGTTTTTACTGATCCCTAACAGGGCCGTTTATAATATCTTACAGTACCTGTAGGATAGTACCTAGGGCAATACCACATTCAGGTCATAATTCTTACCAAGCATCGTTCTTGGTGACTAAAAACACAGAGCTTGTACAAGGGATGTAATTATATAAATGCACATGAGCCAGAATCATCTCTAACTCGTGCGCATCTCTGATTTAATTAGGTTATGATTTATGTGGATCAGTTTGATTATGTTTAATCATCGTTAGAGATATGCTATCCTAGCCTTTTAAGTTCAGATTCCCCATGTCTGAGTGATCTGCTCATCAATGTGTTTATTTATAATTCTAGGATTTAATACAGGGAGATTGTTATATGATACATAAAAATTTGTTTCTATTGTGTGATTGTTTTTAGATGCGCTATGGACTCATATACATGAGCTTTAATAGAAAGTTTTAATTCTCACCCAATATAAACAACCATCGTAATGATTGCTTTGCAGTCTGCTAAATCAGCCTTTCTCAACCAGGGTACCATGGCACCCTGGGGTACCGCCTGCCATCCTCAGGGGTTCCTCATAATTTTCAAACAGTGCCATGCCTTCAACGCTGCAGGCAGGCTCCTGATGTGAAGGGGGAACTTTGATGTGAAGGGGCGGTGGGCTATGACTGGAAAGGGTGGACTCTGATATGAAAGGGGGGCTCCGTTGTAAAGGAATATCTGATATACAGAGGGGAATCTGATGTGATGAAGGGTTCTGATGTGAATTTTGTGATTTGGAGGGGGGTAACTGATTTGAAGGGGGCCTTTGATGTAAAAAGACCCCTTTTTTGGTATATGTGTGTAGGGTCCCCCCTTTAATATCTATAACTGTCCTCAGTCTGGGATAAGGGTCTAGTACACATTTTGGAGGGAGCACACGTTTTTGACATTTACGTTTTTCTATATTTTAGACTGGGGTGCCTTGAGATGTTGCATATTTTTCAAGGGTGTTGTGACTGAAAAAAGGTTAAGAAATGCTGTGCTAAACAAATGCGGCTGCAGTGTGAGTCCGTGTTGTTGATGCTCCATCCTTTGGTCTTCTAAATGACTTCTCAGACTCTGACACATGTGCACACTGGAAACTGAATCTTCAGGAGTTCTGTATAAAGAACTCCTGTATTTACAGACCACTGTAAAAAATGGAACTTTGTGGGACATTTATTAAAATTGTTAATTATGGAGCAATTTGTAATGGTAAAACATTAGTGTGACACTATGGGGGTGATTTACTAACCTAAACACACGCACGCACTATGTGCGTGTGATTTTTACGCAGCAAAGCGTATTTATCAACCAAAAAGTCTCTAAAAGCATATTTCCACTAATGCCATATATGGGAAAATCATGCACATGATGCATATATAATGCTGCTTCACAGTTTAGACAAAAATGGTTAGCTCATGCATTTACATTCCTGCATTCATCAACGCAAGCAACACAACATAGAGCTAATTTACACAACATCACCTTGTAATTCATGCAAGGCTTTGCACAACACACCTGCTGAGTGTGTACACACTACAAAGATGTTTAGATTCCACCCATAGATCATGCTGGGAGGGAACACACTACAGAGGTGTATACATGTTCGTGGTGTGTTTATAAGGTTAGTAAATCAACCCCAAGATGTCTGTTTTGCGAAAGATTTAGTTCTGTGTGATGGTATGACCAAATAATGACTGTCTGCTTACCTTCCCTACGCTAGTTAATTCAACTTCACATCTATCACAGGACTAAGATGTGATAAGTGCTTTTTTTTAATCAGGTGCAGATATGCTCACTGCGTGTATATTAACCACTTCAGTACCAGCATGTTAAACCATGTCATGTTAAGCCATGTTAAACAATATCAAGCCATTTTTCAGTGCTGTGAAAGTTCGACTGAGAAATACCCTGTATTGCAACACTATACCCAAATTAATTTTATATATATTTTTGAGAGATAAAAAAACCAAACAGTTTTCCTTACTTTCTGTTATGAAACACCAACTAAAAGTACCAGGACAGTAGAAAATAAAAAACAAAATTACCACTTTTTAATAAGACACTTCAAGGTGCCTGATTTGTTTGCACAATTTTCTGGAAATTAAAAAACGAATACTGAGGGGGTTAAAATACAGAGCTTGGTAATGGAGCATTAGCTACAAGAAATGTACAGGTCATACACAGAGGGAGGCAGTGGGGTTAATGTACAGGTCACATACAGTGGGGAAGATGGAGATGAAAGGTTTAAAGTGACATTAAACCCTCAGATTTTTTAACATAAAACAATACTGTAATGTGTGCCTTACTGTAATCCATGGTTGTTTCCCTTCTCTTTGATGCTCTTCCTTTTAAATCCTCATGTTTTCTCATGCTTGGGGAGAACTTCCCTTTTCAGCTCAGGGCCTCTTCCCTTAGTGCTGGCTCAGGTTACAGCCTATAGAAACGTATACACAGACACCGTTTGAGACAAGGCAGTCTGCTGAAAAGGGAAGTTCTCTCCAAGCATGCGAACAGATACAAATTTAAAAGGAAGAGCATCAAAGAGAAGGGAAACAACCATGGATTACAGTAAGGCGCACATTACAGTATTGTTTTATGTTAAAAAATCTGAGGGTTTAATGTCACTTTAATGTACAGATGTGCAGTATGATGGAGGTGAAGGGGTTAATATAAAGTTCAGCGCAGAGATAGAGTGGAGCTGACCTATACAGGAGATGAGGTGAGGGTTAAAAATGATGACTAACTTTATTACTTTTTGTGCTGTTCCCGCTGCAGCTTGTTCTCACCAGAAACGAATAAATACATGACTTCTTCAGTCATAAGTTCCTTTACTCTCCCCTGCCTCTGTTATAAGAGGAAGAGGAGGGCTTGTCAATGTAAACATTGCCTTGTGATCGCTGTGATAACCAAACCAATGAAAGTGATTACAAGACACAAAGCTGGTTCAATTGACCCTGTGCTTGAAGCTGATGATCTCTGCTCTTATGACAGCCAGAGCAGTGGCTTCTTCGTGCTCTGGGCGCAGGTACACAGACGCAACAGGAGGACATACAGGTATGTCCTCCCGGATCACTGAGGCAATAGACTGGCTGTATATGTATATAGTGGTCAGTCTGCAGGAGGTTAATATGCAATTTGTATGTAGATAATAACTTGCATTACTAATTACAAACGGTGACTGCAAACACTGAAATAGTATTGATAAACGTCACCATGCGTTTGTGGAATTTGCAGTGTTTGTAACAAACAATTTTGGTGTTTGTGTCACATTTATACAATAGGGTTCATTTAGTAAAGGAATAGATCATGTTCACTGTACAGGGGAATTTTCACTTAGCTTAGTTAATGTGGGAAAGTTGTGCTGACTTTGATTGTCCAATCATGTGCAAGCAAAATCCCTGTTTTTTTTTTCATTTACCTTGCATGTGATTCGGAATTCTTTGCAAAGGGAATTCTCTAAGCCAAGTGAAAATTCCCTTTCAAAGTGAACATGCTTATACTCCTTTAGTAGTCAACCCCCAATGTGTCCTAATATTCAGTCTAGTGTTTGTCGATTTATACTATACACCAGTTATATTCCTTTGGTTTGTTTTTCTGCAGATAACCTTTGGAGTGACCAGAATCTTGAGGCTGATCCTGACCTTCCACCAGGATGGAGAACAATCCGAGATTCCTCTGGCACCTATTACTGGCATGTGCCGACAGGAACCACTCAGTGGCAGCACCCGATGTACAATTCAGGAATATCCCATAGTATGAGTGCTATTCAGGAAAAGGTATAAAATGATGTGAAGCACATTAGCTTTTCATTGGTTTTCAAAGACAAGAGTTCAGCACTGTCAGTTCTCGATGCAGGTCTCTTGATGCTGAAAACAAGTGACAACTGAAGTATGTTTGATGTCCTTTACCCTTAAAGGGTTGGTCTGTCCAAAGTGATACTTTGATTATAGACGGAGCAATAGAGGGCTGAGTATATGTCTGGATCATATATTCTCTACATGGTATTTCTTTCTCTGTGCCATAAATCACAACTCTGTTCTTGTCCACTTGGGAGTTTTGTATGTTCCCACTGTTGCATGTTGTACAGTATATATTAGATAAAAATACAACAGAGAGAGTGGTGGGTACTGCCTGAGAATAGTGACACCCCTGCAGAAGGAAAACAATGGAATGGGGTCCCCCTCAAAATCCATACCAGACCCCTATCTATCCTAGATAGGGGTCTGGTATGTATTTTAATGGGGTGCCCCACATGAAAAAACATGAGGTCCCCATAAAAATCTATACTGAGCCTTGAACTTGTCATAGTATATAATTACACACAAATATTTGTCTGTCAAGGATAATGCTCTTTAAACTTTTAGATTGTTTCTATTAAGTGGTGATGATTATGATGATGATGACACATTGGGCAATCAATTGGGGGATTGTAATGGTAAAAAGCTTAAGAAGCCCTGTATTAGAGCTCTGGGGTAGGAATGCAGTATTGTACTGTCCTATGCAGCTCACCTTTTTCACACTCTAAAATTTACATCAGCAAAAGGTAAAGAAAAAGATATCAAAATGTAAAATGGTTACATTTTGTTCTTATGCACAGAAAGTTCTTAGGACTTCAGTCAGTGATGTTTCTTCAGCTCGGCCCTTTCCTGGAACAGCATCTACATCTGGCAGAAGGTAGGGAACAGTTTCAATTTTTTAGCAGGTGGTGATGTGTCAGACTTAATCCCTGTTGGCGTAATGTTCTAACCTTATGTGCATGAAACATTTTGTATTTCTGCTCGTATGAGGTCACATTGTATAGAGTGGATGGTTTTTTGTATTGCAACGTTACAATGGCAAGCATGTATATAAGCTGATACTTTTTTCTCTACTTTATAGGCTTTCAGTTCCATGGCATGAGGATGATTTATTTTACAGTATTAATGATCCAAGCTGTAAGGTAATATCTTTATGGAATATTTAATATTTTGTGTTTTTCAGTAGCAAGGCAACTGTTATATGTTATATAGTATGCAATAGGTTGGACTTGATGGACTTATGTCTTTATTCAACCTCAAATACTATGTATGTCTATACTTCCAGAAAGTCTATTTATTCAAGACTCTCCCTGTCCAGGTTCCGGGGGGAAAAGTTTTTAAACCCAAAACCAAATATTTATTAAATTGCAGCGTACCAGTCCTTATGTTGTGGTTTTCTTTTTTCAGGCTTTTTTTCCTCTATTTCCACCAGGTATCAGGAAACCATTAGGACGTTACCTGTGATCTGGTGGGACCAGATATCTGAGTTACACAAAGGAGGATACCAAAATTTAAGTGCAGACAACACAATTTATCAGTGAAAACATACAAAATATAACACACGCATATACTGAATAAACCAATAACCAAACTGTGTGACGTGGAAAAGTGAAATAAATACCTAACTACAAGCTAATTACAAAGAATCTCAGGGTAACAAGCAAAGGGAAGTAGGGCAAGCAAGGCCTGGCAAGGGAGCTGGATGGCAGAGAAAATAGAAGGTGCAAGGGTTGTGGATCCCAGAGGATAGGGAATAGAGACACAATGCTGCAGCAAGGAACATACAACAGGGTGGGACTAAATGATCTCCCAGCAGCCAACCTCAGGTGATTAAACTTGGCTGGCCGTTGGGATATATCTGCAGAAACCCTTGGGATTGCGCAATTCCTGATTATGAATTATATGCCACCAACAGGTGCTCTGGTTATGTTATATGTTCCTGTAAATAATACATTTCCATTTCCTTGGTGGCTACGCTCACTCCCCCACTTTTATCTATAAAGGAAGCCATGTTGCCACCCAGGATTCTCTCCTGATATGGACTACAAACATGTCTTCCTCTCTTAATCTTTATTACATGGGGGACAAGGGGACTTGTCGTTTACAGAAGATAGCTTAAACGTAAGATTGCTTGTGCTTTCAGTTCAACTCGCAGGAAGTGACCAGCATACTGCATTTCTGTGAGGATCAGTAGGTATCCGTACTTTCTGAAAAATGAAAACAAATGCACATCCACAGACTTAGTAAGCTACAATATATTACGTTTTGGTTCTTGGGCTTTGATAGTCAAGGCCAGATTTTCCACAAGGCCACTGAGGCCGGCCTCAGGGCAAGAGGGAGCAGAGGGACGGCAGGGGTGTGGAATCTCCCAACGCCCGGGACATGCAGTTCCAGGTGCCGGGTGGTAAGTTGTTTTCCACATTTAGCTTTGCTTTGGGCAAGCAGGGCTAAATGAATGTAGAGCAGGGAAGTTGTTTGTTTACAAGTGATCTCCTCGATGTTGCCAAGATCACTTGTTATAACTGCAGGTCCGTCCTCCCCCCGCTGCTCCCCCCCTCCCTTCCCCTCTCAGCTGTCACAGGAGTTCCAGCACAGGGCTGAGTTAGAGCTCCTGTATTGGAAGTGACTGGTTCTATAAAGAGAACCTGTCACCTCCAAATGCTATTACACAGGGGCTTGTTAGCTCCTGTGTGATAGCAATAAAGTTAAGTAAAAACAATTAAAAATATGATATACAAAATAATTAAACAAATAAAAATGTTTAAAAAAAGTAAGAAATAATAAGAAATAATGATTAAATTAAAAAAATTAAAAGGCGATTAAAAAGTAAAAAATAAGAAAAAAAATTATAAAAAAATAAGGATAAGATAAAAATTGACAAAAATAATAAAGTGGAAACCCTGCCGCCCCTGCCATCTGGTTGCCATTCTCCATTGGGTGGGGGAGGGGGTTTGGCGAGGAGGGGGGCGCAATGATCAACCTGGGCTTGGGGCAGCAGTGAAAGTAAATCCAGCCCTGCTTATAGTATCCATATACAGTATCTTGCAGCACTGCTTACCGGATATCTGAAAAGGTGGTCGTAATGACTGCGGATAGCACCGCTCACAGCAGAACTCAAATACAGATGTCACTAGCACGCCAGCATGAAAATTCCATATCAGTGCAAATCCATTTTATTGATAGATGTCCCTTCAAACGACCGAGTCATTTGAAGGGACATCTATCAATAAAATGGATTTGCACTGATGTGGAATTTTCGTGCTGGTGACATCTGTATTTGAGTTTTGATATCCTTATAGTCCAAAGGAAACATTTGTTTGGATACAAAAGCCATTAGGGGAATTGATCAAAACAGAAACATACAGAACCTGGAATAGTTGCCAAGAGTAACCAATCAGCTTCTCTCTTCATTTTGTTCAACTAAGCTTTGAAAATGAAAGGTAGACGTTGATTGGTTGCCATGGGAAACAGCTCCAGATTCGTACCGAACAGTACTCTAAAGGTAACCATACGTGATTTTGTAATCTAAGTTGAGCCAAGTAGTGCCGACAGGGCCAGCCACAGTTCAAATTCGACCAGTGTATAGCCAGCTTTAGCTTCCAAGCACCAATAAGTATGTAAAGTCTTTGATTTGATAAATAGTGACCTCATTGCTGATATATGACAGCTTGGCATCAGGATTCAGTGGCTTCTGCAGGTCCTGGGTGCGGAAACAGCCAGCTCCTGTGCTTTTTATGCTTCTATAAATCACTCCATTGGAGCTTCATAGAACTAATCTGTAGATCATTGTGTTTACATAAGGAGTGATGTCACCACACTTCCTTTCAGTATGGAGGCTCCAGAAGTAGATTACTGCTATAGTGATCTATTGCTTGATTACCCTTCGTTTCTGATTTGTGATCCTTGCTTTCCACCATTGTTGTGGAAGCTGTTTTTAGTTTGAACCTGTAAAAATCCCTGCTCCCTTCTTCTTTTTTACTCTCCGTCACTCACTATCATTTATAAAGCTGCCTACCTGCAGGCATTGCCTGATTACTAAGCTCAACTACCTCCTGCCGCCTGTCAGTGTTTCTTTCCCTTTGTATTATTGGAAAATCAATAAAATTACAATTATTTAAAACTTTTTACATGTAAGGCTGGGACAGAGATTAACCAAAAGAGGAAGTTGCATTTGGGAAAAAAACTGTAGAACCAGCACACGATGATCTTTCAAAGAAATTCAAACTTTATTCCACCTGCATCTATATAAAGAACAACCGCTGATGCGTTTCGGCCTTACTCGGCCTTAGTCATAGCTAAGGCCGAGTAAGGCAGAAGCGTGTCAGATGTTGTTCTTTGTATAGATGCAAGTGGAATAAAGTTTGAATTTCTTAGTAACATCATTGTGTGCTGGTTGTACCGTTTTTGAGCCTATAACTCCAGAAGAGAGTTATCCGTGCACGGAATGTGGATTACAAGGACGCATGATAGGAGTGAGCTGTGGGCTTTGTGTTTCTAGTTTTGAAGTTGCATTTGGCTCCAAGAAAACCTCTTTAAAATTCTGCATTATAAATCCTGATTGATCTTTGTTTTAACATCGCTGGCAAATGGCAAACATTACATTTGTCCTAAAGTTAGAAATTCCACTTTCTATACTTTCTTTCTTCATTGTATCTGAGCATAGAATAAATAAGGCTTGATCAACATACAGCCAGTTGACGATTCAAGACTGTACCATCACACTACAGAGTGAATGATGCAGGCTGAAGCTGTAGCCCAACAAAGGGGAATGGAAGGGACAGGCGAAGACTGCATTTCCTGTAATAGTAATGCACCAGCACTTCTCCTGTACAGTAGTGAAGCTTAAAGCACCAACATAAACTAATACTTACCTTTCCAGAGGCCCGTACCTTAAAACTCTTCTGTGCTGCAGCTCTCTTGCCTCCACCGGTATTTGGCTGTCTCAAATGCCTGCTCCCTGCTGCATAAAATGGTTCCTTCCACTGATTCCTACATGATTACAGGACATAGGAGACGGTGAGCTAAATAAATGGAAGATGGTGAGCTAAATAAATGGGGGGGGCAGCCAAGGCTCAGCACGGCATTGAGAAGTGGGACGGTACAGCCTGCATCTTCTCCTCTGGACCCCACTGCTCTCCCCCATCTGGCACTGCAGCCGGCGGGCCGAATTAGGAGAGAGAGCAGCTCGGACAGGATATGACAGCCGGCGGCTCTCTCTCTCCTCACCGCTTGGCCATGCTGCTGTGACAGCCGCTCCGTCCTCCGCCCCCCCCCCCCCAATTCTCCTCAGATCCTTGCTGCCTCTGTCCATACAGGCAGGGAGAGCAGCAGGGATTCAGAGGAAAAACTGCAGGATGTGCCACCCCTCTGTGCATGTCCGAGCGGCGGAGGATCAGTACATATCGGTGATATGTACTGATCCTCTGTGTGCAGAGCAAACACTGGAGTGATCAGCAGTGTTTGTAAATAACTGGGGACACATAGTACTATACTATACTGTACTATTGCTGGGATTTGTAGTCCTCTATAGCAGGTGGTATTCTGCATTGCTGTATAATGTATTGTTGGGATATGTAGTCCTCTATAGCTGCTGGTATTCTGCATTGTGCTGTATAATGTACTATTGCTGGGTTTTGTAGTCCTCTTCATTTCACTATATTGCACACCAAACTTTTTTTTTTTTTTTGCACTTAAAGCTTGTTCCTGTGGTGGACTGCAATCTCAATACAAACTAGTAGTCCATCACTGGAGCCATCTTTTTAAATTTGTTTTATTTAAATTTTTATCCGATTAACCGATTAATCGAACTTAATAATCGGCTAACTAAACGATTTCGAAAATAATCGTTAGCTGCAGCTCTACACAACAGTAAAACAAAAATTAAATTAAACAAATAAAAAATAATAAAAAAACACATCCTGGAGGCGGGGCACATGACATCACATGACACGATGCTTGTGCGGCACTGGGTCATGTCACACTCCTGTTGGGGGGCACTTTTTTTGTTCTTGCCTCGGGCGCAAAAGAGCTAGCTACGGCTCTGCATCGTGCTGTTGTGATGCTATTCGCAAAACTATACTTACAGAGTACCCACCTTTGGTCTTGCTTCAGGGCTTTCTGAAGATTAATTTAATTTGCTTAGTTGTTTCATGGATTATTTCTAGTTTATAAGGTAGGAGAAAATACAGTTTATGACACAGAGAAATACATTTGTTTGAAATATAATGGAATGTGCTTTGTTTTTGTTTGTTTTTTCAGAGCTTTGCAGTTCATTGCCTGGGCTGGGTGGAAATACCCGAAGAAGATCTAGCACCTGGGAAGAGCAGTATTACTGTTAACAATTGTATTCAACAGCTGGCCCATACTAAATGTGATGGTAGTGACATGTCACCAAATGAAGTGAGTTGCTATTATACAAGCACTACTAGACTACATTTGAGGACACATTTAGCATCTCTATGTGGTTGGTGTTGAAGTGACTGTATGTTGCATGAGCTCTATTGTCTTCTGGAGCCGGAAAACCTTAGATAGTTGTCCCTAAAAATATTGGCCAATGTAGAGAATTTTTAAATGGGGTAAAAAGGCATCCTTTATAACTGTGCAAGCTGCAGTACATCATTTAAGGAAACAAGTCAATGTAATCTGTACGCTTCTAATGCCACCTACTACCGTGTTTCCCCGAAAATAAGACAGTGTCTTATATTTTTTTTTCCACAAAAAAAGACACTAGGTCTTATTTTCGGGGTAGGTCTTACTTTCGGGGTAGGTCTTACTTTCGGGGTAGGTCTTACTTTCGGGGTAGGTCTTACTTTCGGGGTAGGTCTTACTTTCGGGGTAGGTCTTACTTTCGGGGTAGGTCTTACTTTCGGGGTAGGTCTTACTTTCGGGGTAGGTCTTACTTTCGGGGTAGGTCTTACTTTCGGGGTAGGTCTTACTTTCGGGGTAGGTCTTACTTTCGGGGTAGGTCTTACTTTCGGGGTAGGTCTTACTTTCGGGGTAGGTCTTACTTTCGGGGAAACATGGTAAATACTTAAACTAGGTCAGAACATTCACACACTTTACTTTAAGCTGAGTTTCCTGTAACCCACTACATTCAGAATCCAGAGAACACCTTCAAGGTTTGCTGGGAGTAAACCTCCTGCACTATATGCTGTATAACATCCAATTTGCCACCTGTTTCACTGGTTACACCCAAATTTCCATTGCAGGTTTTGTGGCAATTGGTAGCTTGAAGAAACTTCTTAGCATTAATATTTTTTACATAAGACAGTAATGAGGATTAATTAAGTGTGTTTTTGGGGACCACAGGTCACCATATTTCTGACTAACGGCAATGAGTTGGATTGGGGCTTTACAGTAATAAAATAAAGTAGTCTGTGCTCCCTGTATGTATTTTAGTGATTACTCTTAAATTCTTTCTGTAGCATACCTGCATTGGCATATGATTACTTTCTGCTAGAAAGGAAGAAAAGGGGATAAACACCCATACAACATTTGATTTCCCCAGTAAGGGCTGAAACTTAATGTGTAGAAGAACTAATTGCTTTGCTTATCTTGGTCAGTATTTGGTCTGCAGTCTTGGTTTGCAAATTCTATGACTATTGCCAGTGCCACAAGCTGCAAGCCATTCACTGTCACATTGCTGTTTTTGAAACTAATCGAAAAAACAGTCAGGAGGTTAAGGGCACTGAGCTATAATGACTAGCAAGGCTATAGTCTTTCCTATATCTCACATCTGGTTGTTTTTTTTAGAAAGACGTTTCTTAGCAGTTTTTGTCTTGCAGTCATTTTGTGGGCAGTCCCTGATATTGGTAGAATACACAGCATAGACACAGGCAGTCATCCTAATGGATATTTTTACTAAAACTATTTGACATCTTACTTAGTGTTAAACATATTTTTGGTTTATGTATGTTTAAATCGATATGAACAATTCAAGAATATTAGCACAAGGCCTGGTGGTGGGATCTACTTAGGCCTCTACTCAACCTCTTCCCAGGTCCTTGCCCCATTTGGCTTGAGAGCAAAAGTTGTATTTGTAGTTGATTTTGAATCATTGACCGATTTGTAAGAGTATCTTGAATACAGTTTTGTCCTTGTAATAACTAGAGCCCTAGCAAATAGACATCACTGCAAAAGCAGGGATAAAGGGATGCATGGGCACCTATCAGGTGCTACAGAATGCCAATAACTAGAGATGCACCAATACCGGTTTTTCGGTATTGAGTACGAGTACCGATATTTTTTTATAAGTACTCGCCGATACCGAGTACCGTTACCGGCATCCCGAGGTAGCTTGGGCCCAGCTTCCTAGGAAGCCGGCTTCACACTCCCTCGCAACACTGCGAGGCAGCCTGGCTAACCTGCTGCCCAGCTTCCTAAATGGTCATGAAGCCAGGCTGCCGCGTCATGAAGCCAGGCTGAAGCTGGCATGAAGCCAGCTTCCTAGCCAACCAGGAGCCGGGGCGGCGGGTCATGGCCTGACCTGATTGGTCAGGAAGTAAGGCTGCCTCTCAGTGTCGCTAGGCAGCATGAAGCAGACTTCCTAGCCAATCAGGAAGCCGGGAGGCGGGTCAAGATTGGCCTGGAAAGCCGGCTCCTTTGCGGCACTGCCGGTCACAGGGAATCTCTGGTATCGGGGTAAGTATTGGAGCATTTTAGCGAGTATGAGTACTCGCCCAAATGCTCGGTATCGGTGCATCCCTAATAATATGCTTTAAGCTAATCAAGCAACATATTTCTATTACTGATGATCGTGGACATTTCAGTATTTTATTTACATTTTAGGGGGAAAATATGGTGATGATTTTGAAAAAAGATACAATGAGCTTGGTGGATCCATTAGATCACAGTCTGATTCACTCTCAACCCGTCATCAACATTCGAGTGTGGGGTGTTGGCTGCAATAATGGAAGGTACTCAGGTTATTAATAGTAAATATTTGTATTGTTAATAGTATTTGTCCTTCTCAAGGTTGTCAGAGCCCCCAGCAGACAGGTCTTAGTGGGCATGGGCCTTAAAGCGGAATTGTAACACCGATTGTATGTTTGGTTTAAAGTGTATGTATAGCCAGAATATTTTAGGTTTTGGATAGAGTAAGGAATAATTAGAATCTCTGTCATGTTTTTATTGCTGCCTATGGCCCTACACCCACCCACTGGGGAGATTCCTATCACTGTGTAGAGATTTCCCCTCACTTCCTATTGTATTATCTGGGAGATTCACAACTGACTTATTGACATATTCCAGGACAGGAAGCAAAGGAAAATCTCCCCAATGGGGCAGACAGCAAAAAACAAACAAAAAGAAAACCTAAAAGATGGAGATAGAATTGTATCCCTTCACTACTCTATTTAAAGCTGAAAAAATAGGCAATACATACACTTTGAAGGGATATTTGTCTCTGATAATTCACAGTTCTATGACTTTTTGAGGAGGAAAATAACTTCTGTATGTTTACCACTCTAGCATATTGCTACCTGTAGCAGATTCATTCCTTCTCTGTATGATAGCTGGGTGAGTTAATTAGTACCTCAACAAAGAGGTAAGCACACAGAGCAGATGTGACTGAAGAACTTAAAAGCATGCAGCTAATCCCCACGACCTGGAGAACTCAGTATGCTCATGACATCCTGCAGTTGTGAAATCAGAACTCTGCCACACCAACTGCAAATCTCAGTTCAATTTATGAAGCCTCTCTGCCAATAAAGAGACACACATTGCTGCATGTGGGTTGGCCAAACTCCAACTTTGAAGATGATACAAGACAGAATGCCCCAAAAACAACCCAAGAGCAATATGTAACTTTTTTTATCTATATTTTGTACCTCCCGTCAACAAAAACATACCAAAGACTTGCTTGGTGTGTGCCAATTGACCTACAGTACCTCTGAGAGTAGGTCAGTACCCTCTAAATGGGAATGCAATATTTACAAGCAATTCCTTAAACATATCTACCGCAGTTTGTTTCCTCCAATATTTATTATTTGCCGAAACTTTAAACCAGCTAGAGGTAGAGATAAAGGTTGGTCGGGGTTCATCGAGCAATGAGCTATTTCTGTCTCTCAGATAAGTAATCACTGACACCAGTGATATTTTTAGCTATCTGTAAAGAGGATTCTTTCAAATGACCATAAATGTAAGAAGCCTTCTTCCCACTGAGAATCACATTAATAATCAGTGAGCAGTAGATATAGTAATTATTAGCAGGGGTTCCTTAAGAACATAGAATTATTACAAGGATCCTCCGTATTAAAACATTTGACAAAGGCTACTTTAGATTTTCATAGAGAGATTATTTTAACAAGCATATTTACTGTCATATGTACCTCCTAAGACACACACCAGAGGTTGAGAAACTCTGCAGTACATCATTTTCTCCAAATTCTAGGCACAGGGTATCCTTTAAAGTAGTCATTCGCAAGGAATTCCTGATTACTGCAGGACTTTTAGCATTTTGGTAATAAAGAAAATTGTCACTGATGCCAAATGATAATGTGTGATGATGACTGATGGATGATGACTATCTTTTGCTTGGAAACAGGTAATTTGCAATTAAATTTACGTTGCACTAATGTTAAATAGAGGATCTTGCTGTAACATTGCCCAGAAGGTATTAAAGTGTCAGAGAAGACTTAAGATCCTGGTCCCCAGTCCAAATTAGTAAATGAGCAAAGTGGAGTTCACTCTTGGCAAGTATCCATTTTCTTTGCCAAGTGTGCACATAGAAAATTAGATTAGTGGCGACATCAATATTTCAAGAATTATCTTTTTCCCATTTAATATGTAGAGAAAACAATCTTTTCAGCAAAATAACATTGAATAAGCTCTTTTTTTAGATATTTTCTTTTTAATTTTTCTCACGATAATGTAATTGCATTAAACTTTTTTTGCTTAAAAAAGTAATTTCCCTCAAAGAGAAACTAAACTTTTACACCCCAGAAGATAAAGTGGAAATAATGATTCAATAGGCTCAATTCACAAAGCTAACACACCAGGACACATAAACATATTATTTAAAGAAAGGGACAGTTATTTTCAGCTGTGGCTGATAAGATTTGAAATTTACAGTCACATGACTAAATTAGAGCAAAATATACTTGTGTTAAAGAAAGCACACAGCATCTGGCCGGGCCCCCCTGTGCCCCACTGTTCCCCCGGGGCTCATAGCGGCCGCCTGGGTCACTATGGTGATTGTTACGCCACTGCCTATAATATTGTTTCATGTTCTAGTTTTAATAAATACAATCCTTTTTTGTTAGGTATGAGATGGATGCCTATCTATTGGAGCTATCCTCTCAGCTTGCTTCCTTTGCAAAATGTAGTCTATTGCTTTGAAGAGAATGTTATGCTTTAAAGGGGCATATAAAGAAAGTAGGCACTGTTGTTTTTTTCTGTTTAGTTTTAATTGTTAAATGGTGTAGAAACGTCATATTAAACCCCACCTTCAGTCCCATTTAATCCTCACCACCTATGCAATAAAGCTGTTCCTACTTTCTGTATGGTAGCTGTCATTAGATGTTGCTTTTGCCGTTTCATTTGCATTAATATTCTTTGACAGCTGTTGTACTCATAAAAGGAATGGTCACACAAAGGAAGAGGAACTACAATTCATTTATGTGCACCTGGCAGAGCATTGGGAACAATATATTTTTTCTGCAAAATAAAAGGAAACTGCATTCTCGTTTTTTTCCAAATTATTATTTATTTTTTAAATGAGGGTTATGTTTTCGGCAATTTTAGCTATAAATATTACTGAGTTGCATTAACGCTGATTTTCATGAAAACAAAATGTACATTTCTTTTCTAACTAGAACTATATATATTATATCATGCTGACAGATGCCTTCCAGACAACAGCAGGACTGCCAACTTGTTGTTGGTTACATTGTCTGAGACTGCAGCAGTTAACTTCCAGTGTGGATTTTGACCTGTCCACATTACATGAAAGGAAGATGCCCACAGGGACCTGTGAGCTGTTTATAGAATCTTCTATTGTCAGAATGAATCAGTTCAAAGAATCCTCAAGGGTATACAATGTGAGATGAATGATAGAAGTATCTTAAACGTGTCCTTTGGAGTACAGCTGCTAAGTGCTCCATTGCCTTTAGAGACAGCAAAGTCACATGAATGAGCATGATATTTCTTTTCTTCATGTCCATGTAGCTCCTTTGGGAATAAAACCTAGAAAAAGCTGCATTATAAATGGAGAACTGTAAACAGGAGCCAGGAATAGACCAATGTTACCCCATTCCTGACATTTTTACAAGCTATTTTTAGTTCCACTCTTGGGTGTATCTTGTATTAAATAGATAAGGCTGAATGCATTATTCTGTATGCTTGTGGCAAGCTTTTTCATATGTGATTTTTTTTATATCCTTATTGGCTTTCCATCTGTGAATCCTGAAGGGACAGGTAAGAAGATATATTAATGTATATTTCTAATAATAAACTGTGCTTAAAGTGTACTTTGGTCATGCATTTAAAGAAGAACTAATCTCTGAAATCTTTGAAGTGAGGAGACTAAGAAGAGACATGATTTTGATGTACAAAATGTTTAGTGGTGATGGCAACATCAGCAATAAACTGTTTACTGTAAACTCCCTAACAAGGACTATAGGCCACCACCTAAAACTGGTGGAGAAACTTCTCCCCGCGTTCCGGGTACTGCTTAGGCACAATTAACAGATTTAAATGTTTCCTATAACATATACTAATCTTAAAGGAGAACGATGGGGTCGCTGTATACGGAGATGCCGCAGCCGGAGCGGATCCTGACTTAGACGACGGGATCCGCCCAGCTGCGGGAGTGACAGCTGGCTCTGCCTATCTAGAGGCAGAGCCAGCTGTACCCGCCCCCTCCCCCGTCCGTTCCGCCAATCAGCGCTGGCAGATCGGAGCGGGGAGAGGGGAATCCAGTCCCTGTCTCTGCCGTGACAGGATCGAGAGGTGAGCGAACCCGGTATGTGTTCGCTCACCTCCCGATCTACTGAGCCGACCTGTGACAGGCTCATTGTCACAGGTCGGCTAGAACTATGAGGTGAGTGGAAATCACTCATCTCATAGTTCTCCTTTAATGTTTTGAGTTCAGGTCCACTTTTACTTCCACCATCCCTTGCTGCACATACTTACCTTCCTTCTACTGCCTGGAAGTGTAGAGAAGAAGCCATTTTGTCAATTGTTACATAGGATGAGAACTTTCTACTCAGCCCCATGTGACAGCACTGGTTTATGAGCAGCCAATCACTAAGCCCCAGTGCTGTCTGGTGTGAGGAAGGGGATGGGACACATGCTCCCTATACTTGAAAGTATCATGAATATCTCTATGTTCCTTTTGGCTGATTGGTGTAGTAGGGAAGCAAATGTAAGGTGAGCAAGTTCTGTTGAGGAGGGTGGCAATTCTTGAAATATATTGCTTCATCCTAAATTGAGTTTTCTGTTCCTAATTCTTTTTTACGGTCTCACTCCCCTAGTTGACCAGCTGTTCAAGGACTTGAACTGAGCCTTAATGCTTTGGCTTTCTTTGTTTTACTTTGGAATTTTGCTTTGGAATTTTTCAGAGCTTGGAGTTGTGTACTGTTGGAAACATTTAGTAATAGGAAACAGAGGTTATTATTGCTTACCTCTTCTTTGAAAATGCAAGGTGACTGGCTGTCATGCTTTCCCAATGGGTACATTACATTCTGATTGACTAAACTGGGAACAGTATACAGATCTGGCGTTTTGACTTTCTAATCACTATCCCAGATAGCAAGTAATTGAGCTGCAAGTTTGAAAATGACTTGCCAAACTATTGCAGACTTGCCAAGCTTCACAATTTTGTTGCACAATTACATCAAGTCTGCATTGCAAGTCTCCAGACCATCCAGCTTGCAGAGCTCTTGCTAAGACCTGCAAGACTCTTGCTGTAGACTTGCCAAGCAAATTTGCTACAAATTCAAAAAGTGTCAACTAGAACTTGTGCTGCAAGTGTTCTGCAAGTCTACAACTTGCCGAGAATATGTGCAGCAAGTTAACAAAAATTACAATTTCACACTGCCTCAAGTTGGTAGCAAGTTATCCTTGCTATCTGGGATTTTAGTTGAATGACTCAGAAGTTATTGAAGGCAGAGACAGTGAGGGAAATTAGTATTCTTAGAAGGATGAGTGGAATGACAGGTTCCTTCTTGGGCAGCCTGAAACGTGAAATAGCCCTTTAACTGATAGCTGTATTTACACCAGATAGAAGGTGTTCTTGTTATTTTAGTATAGATGTAAGGTTGAGCCAGAAAAAAAAAAAGTAAAGTCATAGTCACAGGGCCACAAGTTCATGAAATATTCCTCTTAATCCATTGAAGTATAAAGAGAATGAGGGGAATCTTCTCAACCAGGGACAGTGACAGCAATAAAAAACAAACAGAGGTTCTTACCCTTCCCTACTTAAAGGAGAACCATGGGGTCAGGGCTTTTCCCCATAGTTATCCTAAGGGTAACGGGAGGACACAAACTAGCGTCCTCCAGTCACCCAAAGCTCAGTATACAGCTTGCGGTATACTGAGACGCCGCAGCCGGGACTGATCCCGACATTACTGTCTGGATCCACCGAGCTGCGTGAGTGACAGCTGGCTCTGCCTATCTAGAGGCAGAGCCAGCTGTACCCTCCCCCTCCCCCATCCGTTCCGCCAGTCAGTGCTGGAGGATTGGACAGGGGAGGGGGGAATACCTGCAGGGAGCCGTGAGTGACAGTCACTGCTCTCTGCAGGGACAGGATCGAGAAGTGAGCGAGCGACGGTATGTGTTCGCGTACTTCCCGATCCATTGAGCCGACCTGTGACAGATTCATTGTCACAGGTCAGCTAGAACTATGAGGCTGGGTGATTTTCACTCGCCTCATAGTTCTCCTTTAATTATAATCACTACCACAAACATTTGTGGCAAACCTGAGGAGGCCAGGAGGCACACCAGTGTGCCATGGCACCATGATTGAGAAAGGCTGCTCCAATGGCAGGAAGGTCTATGAACCTTCCTGCCTAGACTATATTAGTGTTGTGCCCATAACAGTTTAAGGGTCTCTCTAAGGCCATGTAACTGTGAGATGTGAGGCTGTGATATTATTGCAACCTGGGGTAGACATGCACACGTGGTAGAATACACTTAAACTGACTGTTTACTATACAGTCTGATCATACAATCCCTATGCAATCTCCTTTTGATTTACCAAATCTATGTAGTACAAGGACAAACCTAAACATTCCACTCAATTTGTATCAAATCAAGCAGGCCTTAGCATTACATAGTTGATGTTAGATCTAAAGCAGATTGTGCAGTTGGATTGTATAGTGTTTGGTCAGCTTTAGACATATTGCATTCAACAGAGACGCTGGATCTAGTGAAACTGGGTTCAACCAATTTTACTAATAGGATGTGCAAAATAAAATAAAAGTTGGGGGTAAAGTGTTTACATATGCAGTGAAGAATAAGCAAAAGGGGTATACTATACCCATCCTCCACACAGTCCACATAGGTGAAGATGCTCTTTAATGTTGGTTATATATAATACTATATACTGTCACTAATTGAGATGTGTTCTGCTTTAGAGACTTTGCTTTTGTAGCTAATGACAAGGATACCTGCATGCTGAAGTGTCATGTATTCCGTTGTGATGTCCCAGCTAAAGCCATTGCCAGTGCCCTCCATGATATGTGTTCCAAGGTATGAAGTCATCAAGCCAAGTACAAAAGAGTCTGAAAATAATTATTTTCATGTGTATAATCATGTCAGTTTGTGTTATTGTTCTAAAATCTTGTTTATTTGTATATCTTTAACTATATATGTTAATGAGGGCAGCCATATTTACTCTACAGTATACATATGAGGCTCTGCTTCCTGCTGTTCAGTGCTATACATTGGCTGCTCCTCTCACAATGCAAATCTTTGAATCGACTGACTCACTGAAAACAATTGGGTTTATGTATTCATGTTTTAAGATTCACACAAATTTCACCTAAGATGCATGCAATTGTAACACCTCCCTGACTCTCAGAGGCTTGTGGTGGACCCCCAAGGGCAGGGAGGGCTGACATTTCACTCTCAGGGGTGGATCCTGTGGGATGTGAACAATAAATTGGGCGCCGGTCACTTTAAGTACTTTTTCAATGCCTTATTGTAGAACAGCCAAACTGGGAGACAGGGTAAAAGGCTCCAGACATCCATAGCAAAAATAGACTCCGGACTCACCAGTCCCTTCAAGCTTCCACAGTGTAGAATTACTTTAGCGGTGCAGAGGAGGACACTGTGTAGTAGAGCAACAGCTGAAAAGGGATATGTTCCTGATAGACTTGTTCCTGAGATCCATGCCATCCTGGCCTCCTGGCACCTCCAGCAGATTAGAGCTCCTCTGGTTCTCCTTTCCAGATATTTCCAGACCCCTCCTGGTAACACATCTGGCCTCCTCCAGGCTTTGGGCCTAGTCAACTTATTCAACTTTGTACATCCCATCCCCAGGCTAGACCCAGGGAAGTATGTAAAATACCAAAAAATGCAATACATCAACCAGCGCCAAGAAGACCAACCATAAGCTAGAACACTTCATTGTGCATCCAGTAGAGGCTGCCCCATTCCAGTCAGGGAGTCCAGAAGGCTATATAGAAAAACAAAAAACAGCCTCTTCTGGTGCAGGTAAAACCTTTTTATTCAATAAAAGAATAAACAAAAATATACTCACAAATAGGGCAGTATATAAAAGCATCAAATGGACTGACAGTCCTTGATTGAATAGCTAATGCTTAGCGTGCTTTTAGGGTCACATCCCCTTCCTCAGAGCTCTATGGAATACATATCAGCCAGACTGATTACAGTGCTATAGAATTTTTATTTTTTACTTTACTTTTAGGGGCTTCAGGGAAATATTAGGGGTCTAAACAGACCCCTGATATTTCCCTTTTAAAATAGAAAAATAGATTGAGGACACAAAGTCCTCAATCCCCTGTTATCAATGAACAGGAATCCTCTATGAGTGTTCCTGTTCATTCATAACATGAGAACATAGTGTGTTTACTATAACCACAATCATGAATGAACAGGAGGTGATGAACACTCCCATTCATTCATAATTGAGGATATAGTCAATCTACTATGTCCTCAATTATTTGCAAACACTTAGGGGTCTATTCAATAAGCTGCCGTAGGCAGCCGAGTTAACGACCGACCCGAAGTGAATTGAGCTGAACGCTGTTCGGCTATTCACTTCAAGTTTGTACGGCTGATTTCAAACTGGGAGACACGCTGTCACAGGAGGCTGAGCGAGTAGTGCGGGGAGGAGAGCTCGATCTGACAGCTGACTCCACAACCAGCTCAGAGCTCAGCCTCCTGTGACAGTGCGGGCTGTCGCCGCCCACACACCGCTCTGCCAATCTGTGATAGGAGGCTGAGCGGTGTGGGAGTAGAGACGCAGTCCTCTCTCAGCATATCGCAGATAGCTGATATATCGATGCATCCAAATAAATTGGCATGCTAAAATCATATAAAATTAGTCCTCCCTACTAGTTTGTGCGTCCATTTATAGTCACCCCTAAGCAGGTACCAGCAATGTTAAATGTTTAGCCCAAAAGATACAAAAAGTCCATGTGGTACGAATTTAATATGATGTCATGGTATCACAGGGTGCCATTATCTTGATGCGTTTCGCGCCCAGTATCGGGGCTTCCTCAGGAGAATCGAATGCACATAGACAGATAGATGTAAAAATGAGCAAAGAACTATATCATGCCATATAACCATAAGTCCATACAAATGTGGTTAGTAAAAGCCAGAGGAACACTTTCCAAAGTATTCACAATCGCCAGTAGCAAGTGTGGCCGCCTAGCTACTGGTGATTGATAAATAACTTCCGTATGTATAAAGAATACATGTTAATAATTCATGACTGCTGTAATATACTAAATAAAGATCACTAATCATTGTGTATTTGTGTCTGATGGATCCACTTAAATAGGTCTACTTTTTGGTACTGGTTCCATTCTGAACTGTGTCTCTATTGTTAGCATACCCCAATACTGCATTGTTAGGGGTGCTGGTCTTTGGTTTCTGAAAATATATCTATGCTATCCCTGTTTAAATATGTATTATAAATATACATGTTCAACTTTCACTGTCATTCTGTCTTTACAGATCATGGCTGAAAGAGCTGTGGCCAATAACACTATCACTCGTTCTGTTACCTTAGAGACGATCTCACCTGAAGACTTACCAGTGCAAGGTTGGGAGATAACCAAAATATTCATAGAAATGTATTTGTATTGTAAGCAGGACAGCAAATCAGTTTTACTGATGCACCATATACAGGTGTAATCTAATATTATCACTCAACTACTTAGTTTAATCTATGAGTACCATTATATCATCTGCCAGGCTTAAAGTTAAGCTTCATCTAGTTTTTGCTGAAGGGGGAGGGGTCTGAACCTCTGTCAGCTTTTTATTAGGGATTAGTTTCCTTAATTTGTCCTACTGACCACAATAACTGGGAAAGAAAATGAGTGGAGACCCAAAATTTGGCAGTTGTCAGTGGAATAAGAGGTTATGGGAAATGTACAATGGGGTCATTTGTGACGGTGATAATGATCAAAGTTGAGATTTGGGATGGGTCACAGGCACAGGGTATTTCGATGTGAACTAACCATTCCCCTTTAAGCCTACTTAGATGAAAAAAATGTTTCATGCTAGCACATATGTAAAGCTAATATTAGAAAACAAATGTATTATTCCCTCTTGTTAGGACTGGAAAGCTGCCCAAAGTTAATGAGGGAACATTTGCTTTAGATTCACACATTGTAACACAAACAGATGGACATTTTGTTTCATATATCTCAGTCAACACATTTTACTGTCTATGATTCTAAAATGGAAAAAAATATATTAATATAGTAATATTTCCAATCTATAGATGGAGTTATTTGCATGCCGGTGGTTTCAACAATGTGTACCACAAGCAGCTAAAATTGGAAAGAATGTAGAATGAGCTGGGAATAAACTTCAAGCATGAATTTCACTTTAGATATTACAGACTTGTTGTTGTTGTTTTCGATTGCCATACAAAAAACTAAACTTGCTACCAAGAAAGCAGACTTTTCATCTGGCCAGAGGTGTTGGTGGATAGATTTGATGAAGGTTAGGCTTGTACTGTACAGAATCATAGCTATAGTCTTCTGGGCCCTGGTGCATAATGTGAATCAGAGCCACCCCTTTGTATTCGGCAACCATAGAGAGGTATACTCACTATAGTCCATGAAGGGGCTTTTCAGGCTTTTCAACAGCTTCTGTTTTTACACTATGGAGTTGTTAACCGTATGTCCATTTTGTAACCAGAAGGATTAGCGTTTCTTTTTTTTGTCTGGGTCATTTTCCATTCCTGGGATACCTAATAGCTCTGTTACCATTGGCATAACTCTCAGGGTCATTAGACCACAGCAAGCCACCACAGTGTCAATGCAGGGTTATCTTTAGATATGCTTCACACAATATGAACATGTGACCATGAAAGTGTCTTCAAGCTGGCAAACACAATTAAATTATGCTTTAGTGGCTGCAGCAAGGGGACAGAAGGAAGCACACTGTAGCCATTGGTGCAGTAGCAATTGCATCCTCTTCTACCCCTCTAGCAACACGGAGAAATGAACGTATACAAAAAAAATAATATATATATATCCCTATTACTATCTACATATTTACATACGGTAGTGACAGACTGCCCATCTGTCACACCTTCCAGAAGTATATTTTTTTTGGATCAGCTTTATTGTAACTTTTCACATTTATAAGTTTTTTTTTTAAGCTGATGTTTTATATGATTTTTTTCGTTCCTTATATAATATCTTATATTTTACATTTAATACCTGGTACTTTCATGTTACACTGTTTGCAGAACATATTGGGTTTCCTATAAGAAAGCCCAGCACTAGCTGTGTGTTTACCGAGTACTCCTGGTCACATGGAATCCAGTAGAGCAGAGTCTTTGCTGACAGGGAGGCTGGCATGTCCCTTTATTGATCATTATGTATGTTATTAGTATGTGATCTAATATCCTCTAATGCAGATCTGTCACAATAGGAGAGTAAACCAGCTTTCTGATCCCTTGGAATACTAGCTTTGCACTCATCACCTGCTTGCTGTATGTGATAAATATAGTTACATAGTTACATAGTTGGTAAGGTTGAATAAAGACACAGGTCCATCCAGTTCAACCTGTGTGTGTGTGTGTGTGTGTGTGTGTGTGTGTGTGTGTATGAATACATACCATAAATCTGAAATATTCTTGTAGCTGAAATAAGAAAATATGAACATTGTATTAATTTAGAACTAAACATAATGCTTGAATAAGAAAAATATATTTGAAAGCACTATACATTCGCTTTAAAGATGGATAACTTTATAGAATTCTCAAACAATTGCAATGGATAAGGGAAGCAGTCATACAAGGACATACAACATGCTGTCCTTACATGAACTCATGGATCATTCTAACCATTTAATATCTCAGCGGATAAAAAGCTCAGAAGTGGCACTAATCCACCCATTAATCGGGATATTGCCATACTCAGGCCCTTTGATGTTCCTTAGCAAATAATAAAACATCCTCAATGATCAGAACTGCTTTGTCATATCATTAGCAGCAAGTTATCCCATTGCTGTAGCCATAATACATTTGACATCTGAACAAACAGGAAAAAAAAACATGTTATCAGCTTTGACTAAGATACATTTTTCCTTTTTGCAGCACAATCATTTTTTTTAGCAATAATAAACAAGAAAGCTCTAGGAAAGCACTCTGATGGAAAAGTGAAATATGGTGTTAATAACCCTCTGCAGCGTTTCCATCATTGTAGCCTGTGTTATACATTTAGTGAATGGATGACAATTTCACATGCTTTGTTTATTTTAGTTGATATTCTGGATACTGTGCGGGAGTCCATTCAGAAATATGAACTGTTTTTCATTGGCAGCCTTCCCGTCTCAAAGCCGATGGGTGAGTTATCGTTATTCTGTGTCAGCTCCTCCAGGGAGCCCTTTACTGCAACAACTAATAAATACTTAGAATACAATGTATTCCTTTATCTTCACTCTCTGTGGTATTATGATGCATTATATGTTTCCTCTGAAAAGCTGTACAACGTAATTGCAGATGACAACATCTAATCTTTTGAAAAGGTGCATATCCACAAATTTAAAGCTGCACTCTAGGCAGATATGAAAGGCACAGTTATGTATTCATTGATATTTATGAAATATATATGTTTAAAGGATACTTCCACTTTCCCAGGAGCACTGGAGTTTGTTTTTCTGGCACTGAGGTGTGCCGAGAATGTGCATGTGCAGCTTAGTGTACATTCTAAAGTAGATTGCAAACAGGCAAGTACATTTTTTTTACTGCAGGAAAGAATGCATTTGTCTCTTTTTCAATAATCTTCTTCTTGCTAACAATTTTTTTGTTAGTTTAGATTCCCTTTAAGTTGTTTCAGTATCCTATATATATAAAATGCATTTATGAGGCATGGATCAGTGTTTTATAAATGTGCCAGGTAACATTTTAATAAAAAAGGAGTTTGATATTCATGGTTACTGCTGATTTATAAGTGAACCCCTTAGTGTATGTTATTGTCCAAAATACTATTTTTTTTTACTTTGTTTACAATAGATGCATACTACTATGGTATACTAATGCTTTGTATGAAACATGCAGAAGAAGTATTTTTAATAACTAATCTCCTGTGTGCAGGGATGGATGTACTGAATGATACCATAGAAAACATAATCAGCACCACACTTAGGGAAAACTGGACAGCTGCTGTCATTGAGGTGACTGACAGAACAGTGACTGTTCAACGGAGAGAGGTAATTCTAATTTGCCTTTATGGTTGTAATACTTTTTACTTATATATTAACTTGTTATATTATTTTAATGTTCCTGCACTGATTTTCTCTGTGAAAATGGCAATGCTTCCTATTGTCTAAAATGTTGCATTTACAGATTAAAATTGATGTGGAATTGTCAAATAGAAGATTTCTGTACTTGTTTGCATCACAATGTTTACAAGAAGCAAGTGGAGAACTCCAGGCAACTTCCTGTTATTCTGTTTACAGCAGAAAGACAGGCCTGGAGCAAAAGAAATAAAGAATTGTGCGTAGGGACAGCATGACAGGGGGAGAAGGGGAGCCAGGTAGAGAAGGGTTAACTTCTAGGTAAAAGAAAGGGGTAGAAGGAGGGGTTGCTTACCAAATTGGTTGAACGTTTGGCAAGGCGGGACTTCTTAAGGGCGATCTGTGCAGAGGTGGAGGGAAGCGGTTTTCCCTTCCGCCCGCCCCATTGTTTTTCATCTTTTTCCTTTTTGTTTTTAGGTTCTGGATATGTTGGCTCGTCACGGCAGTCTTTTGGTGGTTTGGGGTCCTTGAAGGTGATCTGGATGCCTGGTTTATCGGAATAACGGTTGGGGACCCATCCTAGGCGTGGTGTCCTTTAAGTGATGGTCAATTGGTTTGACCACTAAGTTTTGGGCTGAAAGTGTCTGCAGTCAACAGATATTTGTCCCTGTGGCGGTGGTGTTCCGGCTTGGGGCCCATCGTTAGTTATCTGCAGATGCAGGTTATGGGGTGGTTTTTGTTACTTTGTGCGCCTTCAAGGACCCAGAAACCAGTTGTTAATTGTATAGCTGTGCTATTTTGTTTAATAATATTATGATTATTGATGTATTTATTTTGATATTGAATTAAACAATTGCTGCTGTGGCCCCTTTTAAACTCCATACAGGTCTAGTGTGATTTCCTGGGGAAAAAGCAGGTGATGGGTGGGGTACTCAGCAAGTTAAGTGGGGTTTCTGTTTTAGATTTGCTTCCTCTGAAATACGCTTGTCAAGGTAACTCACTTGTTTCAGCTCTGGTGGGCCTTAGTCATAGCAGGGCTGTAACATGTAAGTGGGAGTTTCTATTCTGACTCCGATTGTTGTATTAGCAATTTATCCCTTCCTGAGACCTCTATGCCTGGCCTGTATAAGCAGATATAATCACTGCAAACAATCTTCATCAGATAGCTTTTATCACAAAGTGCTTTATTGCATCCATCAGGTTACAGCAGACAACAGGATACAGCAGATGAATGAATAGACAGTATTTGAAGGTCAGGATGATAAGCTAGCATGTACATGTGGTCATGTTATAGTCAGCAATGATGCTAGACGACTAATTGGAGAAGAACGGCGGTACCTTACACACAAGGAGAGGGAATGCAGAAAAACATGGTGCAAAAACCAAAATGCCCAATAGATGGCAGTATAATAACCAGCTATACAACTGCTCTATTACATGGCTTAAGGAACATTAACGATGTGCTTTCCCAACTCACAGTAATATAAATATTAACCGTGGCTATGCATTGTCATATTTTTACAACTATGTAACAGCACAGTTTCTTTTCTAAACTTTACAGTTTGAAATAAAGATACATTTGGAGAAGATTCTGTGTATGCTGCCATTCTGGATTGTGGCTTTGCACTGTGGTGGTTAAATGCGGAGTATAAAAGGGAGGTCAGAGCGCTGTATCCCAGGACTAAACCCACCCTTATTCCCCCTTTCTTCATCTGTTCCCCCTTGATTTTACCATTTCAATTTGCAATAGCCAATAGCAGGCTGGCTATTGCACCCGCTCACTGCTGTTGTCAATCAGCAGAGGAGAACCTAAAGGAGAACTTCAGGTCCACCTCTGCTGATTGACAGCAGCAGTGGGCGGGTACAATAGCCAGCAATATCCAGCCTCCTGGTACACTACAGCAGTTTTGACAATAGGAAGTCTGTGCCGTTGTTCTGTAATAATATCAAATGAGTCAGCACCTTAAAGAAATACTTCCACCTACCCTTCCAAGTATAATGCCATCAGACTAATTAATTTGGAATCTTTCAAGATTGTGGTGAAAAGGAATATTGAAGTAGTTGCGGCGCAGAGGTCTGCATTGCTGGATATAACATGAGCATCCCTCTGAATGTATTATTATCAGTGTTTTTGTTTATTCTGTATGTTGTATGCATGTTGCTAGATTCCTAATAGATCTAGGGCATCCCTGGGCACAACGTTGCAGGCCTTCTAGCATACCAAAAAGTGGGTACATTTATATCATTGCCCCCATATCATTTACCTCCTTTCAGGCATCCGCTGGGTGGAAGTTTTATAAATAAACCTATAAGTGTATGCGTTATGATATACCTTCATGTAAATATGTTACATTTGAACTCTTTATCATTTTATCATTTTGAGGTATGTGATACCTGAAATGGGAAAATATAAAAATCAAAGAGCTTGTCAAGTAGCTTTTAAATGTACAAGAATAATCACTGAGAAATAATTCCGTACCTGCGGGTATACCTTTTAGGAACCTGATTCTTGTCATGTAAACGGCAACCTAATTTATTAAAGCCCAACTTACTGAGTGGCTCTCCCTATCTTAATGACAACTGCTCCCCTTATTTCCATAGGTGGAAACTCTCCAAAATATTAGCCAATAACTCTGGCTAATCCAAACATTTCCAATCCATGTATTGTCACAATTGCCAGAATTTCGCCTATGAATTTTTAAGTGAGTGCTGTTTGTGTAGAGGACCATATTACTATAATTGAATCCCCTACAAGCCTACCACTATCAAACCATGCCACAAATATTTTGACACTGCCTCCTGTTCACAGCAGTGCACTAATTGCCTCACCATTATTCCCAGTCATGCCAATATTAGCCCTCCTTCCCTGCAATCTCAGTCTGATGGTGTTCTAAAAATTCCCAGGTACACTCATTTGTTGTCCTGATGTCACAGGGTCAAGGACTGGGGTAGAATGTCACCAATGGAGGGACTTCCTGATTGGTATTATTCATGCTTTTCATCAATCAGTGAAAGAGGGACTAGCTTAGTAAAGTCTCAAAAACAGATTCATTTGGAATAATGTCATAGGTTTACTGGGCTCATACTTATTACATCATAACAGTACACAACAACATTACATTCTGAGCAGAAACCCGTGCCAGTTACAGACAAACTGTGAGTCCTGAACTGCACCTAAAAGCCTGTCCTAACCATAAGTTCCTGATAGGCATTCAGCTAACTGCAGGCCCCAGGGGGCATTAGGCAGGTACCATACAACTACTGTTCTAATGTACTCATGTGACTCAAAATTGCAGATAGTGGGATACTGTCCGCTAAGTGCACAGCACAGAGCTGCACTGCAGCCGGGAAGGATCTCGACAATATTGTTGGGATCAATCTGGCTGCCTGAACAGAGAGAGGAAGGGAGACTCCATGTGGGGAGCGGTGACTGATAATCACTGATCTCCTCAGGGAGGAAACCATGAGCTGAGCATGTGACAGCAGCAGTGTACCATGCTGGCTCTAAGTTTTGGGAAGAGTATATTTTACACTCCCAATACTTCTCCTAGGAAGCCCCTCAGATGCGCATCCCATGCTTGCATTTGCCAGGGCTCTTTTTCACTGTAGCTCAAGGGGGACCTTTAAGAAGGTAGTTTGTCTTACACAAATAAAACATTTTTTCTTTTTTTTTATAAACGTAAATCTGCAGTGAAGTAAAACATTTAAAAAAATTGTCACAGAACAATTGTCACAGAACACAGTGCCATATGGTTCCACAACACACCTTTACTTTAATATGGTAATCCTCAGAGTTCTGCCAGAGCACCTATGCAAAGTTATTTTTTTCAGATAGTACAAATCGTAATAGCCATGTATTTTTTATTTGTTTGGCAGTTGTAGCTGAGCATAGCAACTTTGAATCTCTTTGGAGCTGGAGCCTTAGCTTGGGGTACTGAAGTAGCTCTGGAGCCTGAACCTGGGATGTTAAAGCCGCTTTAGAGCCTGAGCTGGTGGCGTCTGGGGCCTGAACTAAGGCTTTTGAAGCAGCTCTGGAGCCTTAGCTTGGGGTGTTGGAGCAGCTCTGGAGCCTGAACTCGGAGTGTTGAAGCATCTCCAGAGCTTGAGCTTGGGTTTCTAGAGCTGTCTGGAGCTGGAGCTGAGGCTTTGCATAAGCTCTGGAGCAAGGCTGAAACTGAATCCCAACCCCTGGAGCAACTCCAGAGTGGAAGCTGGCAAAAATGGGACACAGCCAACCCTATGCTATATCTAAACTATATGATCTTTTATTTTACCACCTGTACTGTCTTTTTTTCTGCCATCTTTAAGGGATAGCTGGAAGGCTCCAGTCTTCCTCTTACATGAAAAGAACAGCAAAAACGATTCTTTTCAGAACTGTTGCCTATTGCTAGAATCACAAAATTGGCTTGTTTTTAATGTTAGTGAAGGCACACTCCATGTGATGTTTTCATGATATTTAATTATATAGTAACAGGTATAAATTTTATATGTTTTAGGTTCCCGAAGAAGAGTCTGTCTGGCAATGCTCAGTTCGATATGTGACATTTATGGGTATTGGGAAAGATCCTCATACATTTGCAATGATCGTGGATGTAGGCACACAGTGTTTCCAGTGCACAGTATTTTGGTGTGAGCCAGATGCTGGACATGTCTCTGAGGCAGTACAGGCTGCATGTATGGTAAGTGATGTTCAGGTTTCCTGGGAGGATGACTAACACTTGCCACTCATCTTTATTTTGAAAGGCGAATTGGAAGTCAAGGAAAACCAAGGAAAGCTGTCCATATCCCTAATCAATGTTGTCTCAGGGAAGGCCCATGGTTCCTTTGTAGCCCCATCACTGTGACTTCCATTCCTGTTTCTTCTCACTGGCAGGAAAGACATTTTTCTGGGTCACATTTTAATTGTTGAAATGGCTGAAACGGATTAGGTCTTACATAAGGTGCATCTTTTTTTTATCAGGTTCAATATCAAAAATGTGTGGTAGCATCATCATCAAGAATGAAGTCCAAAGGTGGAAATGGCAAATCCCTTCTGAAAATAAAGAGGACTGCATCTGTGGACTCCCCAATCTCTCCTTTCAACTCATCAGGCCACTCTCTTCAGAAAAACGGGGGGACAAGTAAAAGAAGAGGAGTCATGGCTTTCTTTGAATCATTTAAGCAGAAACATGTCCGGCATACCTCTTAGACTAGGACAGAGATACAGGGAAGATATCTTTTTTATTTATTTTTGCCTGTTTTATAGATATTTTAGAAAGTTTGTTCTTTCTGTAACAACCAACGGTTGTTTACTATAATGTAATTCTGGGATAATTTCAGATGCTGAAATTCTGCTGTGCTATATCAGGAAGATACCATAACCAGGTTGAGTTATTTGACCAGAAAATGCAGTATGGCACTGAAGATAAATTAATAGCATGGTACTGTATATGCACACCAGTGAGAGTTAGTGTCCATACTGACCAGATTACAGCTTTTGTACAAAAAAGTAATGAAAGCTGTTATCTTGCTATTTACTATAACTAAAATGCTACATGGGCCTTTGTGCAGGGTGCTCAAATTCAATCTCCCAGGGAAAACAAATAACTTGGTTTGGGGTGAAGGGTAATTAGGGCACTTTATATGTAAAGCTATACCTACCTCTAAGTTTACCACTTTAATCTTCCTCCCATTGCATTCTGTTAGAACTATTTATCAGAACCAGTGGCTACAATGAACAGTAAAATCAGCAAGGGGAAGACAATGCTGGAGAAACTTGGATTTTCATGTTAGCAAGTGTACCTGTGTGCAAAAATGTATGTAGGCTTATACAGTATTGCAAGGCATGAAGCGCAGCACATAGCCACCAAAGAATCCATAGGGGTCTATTCACTAAGCCGCCGTAGGCAGCCTAGTGAACGACCGACCTGAAGCGAAGTGAGCTGAACGCTGTTTGGCTATTCACTTCAGGCTGGTACGGCTGATTTCAGCCGTATATCGGCTGAAATCAGCTGTACATCGGGTATCTTCGCGTGGCTTCGGGTCGGCCCTAACATGCTCAGCATGTTCGGCCAACCCGAAGTGCAGAAGGAGTTAGACTCAGCTGATCCAACATTTGGATCAGCTAAGCCGAACCTCTGGCAGGCTACTCGTTGCTTTTCGGTCTATTCTTATACATGCCGAACAGCAGTGAGTGTATAGCCGAATGCCGCTGAATCCCCCTCTGTGAGACCGAGCAGAATAGAAAAATAGTCAAAAAAGTAAAAAAAAAAAAATAGAAAACGATTGTGCGGAGCTAGCAGTGACAGCTAGCTCCACCCAACTGTTTTCTATTGGCCGGCGGTTCTGCTGCCGTCAAAAAAATAAAAATAAATAAATAAAAATGTTCGCCATAGGAATGCATTGCTAGGTTCCTATTGGCTATTCCTATTTGCTATTGGCAATAGCCAATAGCAAACTAGCTATCGCACCCGCCCTCTGCTGCTGTCAATCACTAGTGGGGACCTGATGGAGAACTGCAGGTCCCCTCTGCTGATTGACAGCAGCAGTGGGCAGGTGCAATAGCTAGTTTGCTATTGGCTATTGCAAATTTAAATAGCCAATGCATTCCTATGGTGAAAATATTTTTTTTATTCTGACGACAGCCAATGTCAGAAAAAAAAAAAGAAGAAAAAGCAGTGTTTCTCTCCTGGGCGGCCAGGAGCTCTGACTTTAGTGACCTGAATTCTGATTGTTTGCTATGAGTTACTGTACTTGCACTCTTGCTCTGTTTATGCATAATTAAACAAGACATAGACGGTTATATCGCTTATAACCTTCTATGTCTTGTTTAATTATGCAATTAGGGGGAGAGGTGTAAAACTAGGTATACACAGGGGGACTACCCACAATTTAGTAAATCTGTTTATGCATAAGCCTGAATATGTCAGAAATGACCACTGCATAAACCTAATAATTTTTTTCCCACTTTTAAAAAGAATAACAAAATGTATGCCTTGCAAGCCTTCTTACCATATGGATATCCTTAAATGCATTCCATGCAGCAAAGAGTATTGTATTATTTGAAGGACTTATTGTGTATAAAGAAATTACCAACTTTGATGCTGTACCAACCACATGTTGGGACATATAGACTAAGGAGATAAAGGCTGCTTGTTCCTCATATAAGAAGTAGATATAAAATCTATGAAAGTATGTAGTGAGCTAGGTCATGTAAATGTTAATCTTCGCTTTGTGTTTAAGGAATGAAAAGCACTGTAAAATATGCTTTAACTGTAAATATTTACTAGCACCACTAGTTTATCAGTGGATCTGTTCTTAATAAATTTGAAGCATTAAAATGTTATGAAAATTATTTTTAAGTTGTCTTATCAAACATCTGAAATTAATATGAATATTGTATAATTTGTACAAAATGCACATCTCTGTTCCAGACGCAGTGCTATCTGTCAGTCAACCCAAGATTGATATTATAGTTTTTAAAGTGACACTAAACTATTAACAAAAATGTATCGTATTTGTGTATCAATCGGCTGCAGATCCTCAAATCATTTCTGAATTCATGCTGACACTGTCCTTCCTTCTGGAGGGTTGCTACTTATGTTCCTCACGGTCCCTGTGTGTGTTCTAAAGTAGCCACCTCTCAAAGCTTGCTACAGTGATAGACTACAATATCACATTTTACAGGGTGAAGAGTTTGGAGAAAGCAGGAGATGTGAACAATCTAGGCCAAAATAGCTGAACTGGAAAGTGAGCTGAATTGAAGACTTTTTCCAAATCAGCTATTTTGTCCTAGATTGTTCACTTCTCCTGCCTTCTCCAAACTCTTCACCCTTTAGTGAATAGCCCTGTTAGTTTACTAATTTGTAATGAGATTGGAGTTTATCAGGGGAGTGAGCTTGGAGCGGTGGCTACTTCATAACACACATAGGGACCACGGGGAACAAAAGTAGCCACCCTCCAGAAGAAAGGTCAGTGTCGGCATGAATTCAGAGATGATTTGAGGATATACAGCCGAGTGATACACAAATAGGTTACATTTCTGTTAATAGTTAAGTCACTTGAATTTATTTTTTAAGATTTAACTCTAGTGTCACTTTAATGTTCTTATAATGAGGCAGCCTGAGGTGGTCGCCTCAGGCAGCATCTCATTAGGGGGAGGCAGAGGTGTGTGTGGGGGGGGGGGGGCAGCCACAGCTCCGGCTAAAACTAAACTACAGGCTTGAAGCTATGTACACATTTGAAATTGTGCAGTGGGAACTGTTTACCTGCAATATATGGGTCAAAAACACACCCCTAGTCTGCTGATTAGACACTGAGCAGCATAGTGATCAAGCAGCACTTTTCTCTCTCCTCCTGTCAACATGGTCTCTGATAGCACATCTGCATTGCAATAGTTCTGACCTTCCTCTCTGCTATTGTGCTCTGGTCTACAGCAGTAAAATATATAGCGACAAATTCTGGTGTTTACACTATTTGCATTTATTAATACATATAATCATTTTTACTAAATACATATCCGCATTTATTTAAAGCAGTGGTTCTCAACCCGTGTAACCTCGGGACCCACATGTTTCCTTGGTATGTAAATCCAAAACCAAAAATGTCATGTATTGCAGCTTAACAAATAGAGAGTTATAAACTCACTGGACTTCTAGCAGGATCAACATGTTTTTCCTCTTTGCACTCACTGAACCTATGTAAAAATATAACAAAATGCTTACAATTGTACATTTAACAGACCAGACAGAAGCAAATAAAAGAAATTCATAGTCAGCGTTTACTACGCCTTTTGTTATTATATTGGGTGTTTGTTTCCAAAGGCACTGTTTTATTGATTATTTTTTTCATTTGAAACATAGCCTTACAAAGAGTGTTTAAAACCTCACATAATTTATTCTCATTTTGCAATTTTTCTAATTGAATCTTCTGAATGTGACAGCATGTTTTCTTT